ATGAACACTCCAATGAGTTCATCAATCAAATTAGATAAAGACGTAACAAAATATCGAGGTATAATCGGATCTCTTCTTTATTTAACCGCTAGTAGACCCAATATCATGTTTAGTGTTTGCTTATATTCTAGATTTCAATCCAATCCTAAAGAATCACATTTAAGTGCCTTAAAAACGAATTTTTAGATATCTATGTGGTACTAGAACTTTAGGACTGTGGTATCCTAAGGGCACACACATTGACCTTATTAGCTATTCGGATGCCGATTGGGCGGGTTGCACAATTGATTGAAAAAGCACAAATGGAACTTGTGTCTTTCTAGGCTTTTCCCTGTATCGTGGTTTAGCAAGAAACAAAATTCTATTGCACTATCAACCTCTGAAACCAAATATATCTCGACCGCTAGTTTTTGTGCTCAAACTCTTTGGATGAAACAAATCCTTAGAGATTATCATTTAACTTTTGAAAATACTCCTATTATATGTGATAACACTAGTGCTATAAATTTATCTAAAAATCCCATCTTGCACTCTCGGATTAAACATATTGAAATTCGACATCATTTTCTTAGAGATCATGTGCAAAAATGTGATATTTATTTAGAATTTCATAGTATCGATAAACAATTGACCGATATTCTTAGTAAACCTCTTGCTCTTGATATATTCTCTTACATTGATAGAAGCTAAGGTATTATCGACGAATCTGAAATTTGTGGCTAAATTTGTTTAAAATGTATGATTAAAACAAAATTACATGTGAAATTCTTGAATTTTTCGGTCAACCAAATCCAGCCAGTCGAAATGTACTGTAGTATCCCCAAAATTTTTCTGTAGAACTTCGGTCGACCAAATGATCGATCGAAACAGATGTTCGATCGACCATATGATTGACCGAAACATAAATTTCGGTTGACCAATGATCAACCGAAAATGACTCCAGCTGGCTTTAAATTTTCTGCAGACTTTCGATCGACCGGAATCGAAAGTTTATCCGATCGATCGAAAACCTCGCGAATCAGCTTCTTTAAAAATCAAATTTCATCTCCAAATCATCATTTTAAAAACCCAACTCATGATTTCCTCTCTTCAAATCACTCACATTTCACTTCTTTCATAAAAATCGCT